TTTGTCGGCTGGGCGCCGCCCGCAATGCATAGATGCAGGGAGGCAGACGGGTCATGTGGCAGCAAGGGCGCACGCGCAAAACGCAGAAGGATAACAAGAAGGAACGCGAACCAGGGCAAGGCAAGAACAACACGGAGGGGGCGAGGGGGGCGGCAAGAGCAGATGATGACGAACGGGAAAAGACATTTGCTCGTGGAGTACGTGTCCCGACGGACCACTCACAGGGGGCGCCGAAGTGATCGCGGCACCTTTGGCCTCCAATCTGTAACCTCGATGCCAGCAGCACAGGCGTACGCAGGATGCTCTGTGGGCACAGTGCTCATGAAGTCCGCCCCGCGCGCGACGCAGGAAACAGGCGACGCAACTCAACTCCCTTGCGCCTGAAATCGGGCGGCCGCGCACGTCAAGAAACTCAAGGAGCCCCCGCGGTCGCCCCAAGGGGCCCCGCAAAGGCCTGTCAGGACCAGGACAAAAATAGGCCTGGCGAAATAACCAACCACATGCTGCTGCGGGTACCATATGGGGCCACGATTGCGCGGGGAGCGCGCCAAGATGAGGCGGCGCCGCCATGTCGACCACGCCAATGGGGCTTCCAGTGGTACTCCACGCGGGGCCACGAACCGAGTGAAGGGTGCGCCCCAATGGGGCGCAGCCGCCATGTAGACCCTGCCACTGGGGCCTTCGAGTGAGCCCCATGCGGGGCCACGAGCCGTGCGAGGGGTGCGCCCGCATGGGCGGTACCGCCATGGGGCCATGCCACTGGGGCCTTCGGTGGACCTCCATTTGAGACAACGAAACGTGTGAGGGGTACGCCCAAATGAGGCGGCGCAGCCACGTGGACCTTGATCCAGCATGGATCCTGGCACGTCGGCGGGCCTGGCGAAAGCATAAATGTATCCAAGAATTTAGGGTCTTGTCCGAGCCCATCGATATCCTCCTGCGTGAATGCATAATCTTCATCGCCACCCAGACTTATTCATGGTGAGACTCACGCACGCCCCGTTCGTGGCCGTTTTGCGGGGGTGCCTCAAGCGGTTTGCCTGTCTTCTGTCCCAACATCCTTGGCTACCAGAGCAGACTGTGAGGATGTCTCAGGCGGGACGCTGGTTTCAGCCCCCCCTGACGGAAACCACCACGTGTTATTTCACTGTCCCATTCGCGGCCGTTTTGTGGAGATGTCTCAAGCGGTTTGCCTGTTTCCTGTCCCAACATCCTTCGCTGTCGGAGCAGATTTGGAGGATGTCTCAAGCGAGGCGCTCATTCTCACCCCCCATAGGGGGAACCGCCAGGGCTTATCTCACGGTCCCGTTCGGGGCCGTGTTGTTGGGATGTCTCAAGCGGTGTCCCTGTTATCTGTTCCAACAGCCTTCGCTTTCGGAACAGATTTGGAGGATGTCTCGAGCGTGGAATGGGAAGTGCGCGCGAATGAGGGGGGGAAGGGGCAATGCGGCGAGGAGGAGGAGGATGAGGCGGAAGGCGTGGATGACACGGGGAAAGGGAGGGGAGGGATAACGAGGGCGGTTGAGGGGGGCGAGGGAGTGGGAGAACACCAGGACGACGAAGGCGAAGGAGGATGAGAAGGAGGAGGAGGATAACAGGAGAAAAGGGGGGTAACGTGAGGAGGCAGGGGATTAATATGATGGCGAAGTGGGGTGACGGGGGGTAGAAGATAACAAAGAGGAGGGGTCATGCCGCATTCAATTTCCTCTGGCCCTTTCCGGCCGTTTTGCTGCGATTTGGGCGGTTCTTCGGGTGGTGCCGAGCGCTCTAATACCCAGAAGGGCGAGAGCGTGACGTTCCTTTTCTTTTTCTTGTGTCTGATCAGTTTGATGGCGCCCGAAAAGCATCCTCGCTGACAGCGCGCGGTATTTTTTGGGAGCTCTTGGATTGTCCTCGGGTTGGTGAGAATCATTTTGGGCCGCATGGGCCGTCGCATCGTGATTGTCTCTATGAAAAATGATCACCTTCAGCGGTGTCGGCCGTCGTTGGGGGCAGTGTGCGCCGCCATGGCAGTTCGCATCAATGCAGAGGACGTTTGAATGACATAGGGCCGATGGGGGGGGGGGGACGGCATATTTGGGAGCAGTTGCGACGATTGGTATGGCCGGGCCGCCCTCATTCTAAATATGCGACGTGCTCGTTTTCTTTGTTTCTTCCAGGGCGTGCTGTCAGCAGGGGGAACGCCGCGCGCCTGGATGCCCCGATGGGAGCTCACGGATTGGATTTTACAGTGCGACGGTGGCCCCAGTCCGTTATCACCGCGTGATGTTCGCCCCGCGCGGATGGCGTTGCATGTCAGACGGGTAATCCCCATCGAGGGTTTGGTGCAGTTTGCATGTTCGCCATATCCTAAGATGGTTTTTTGTTATTACGTGGACGCCTCCTACTCCTTCTCACTCTTCTCCTGCCCTCTCCTCCTCATGCCCCGACTTACTCATATACAGACTGACTCACACTCAGACTAACTCAGACACATATTCACACACAAATACCTACTCATACTCATACCTACTCATACTCAGACCTGCTCCGACTCAGACTTACTCATGCTGAGACTCACGCGCGCCCCGTTCGCGGTCGTTTCGTGGGGATGCCTCAAGCGGTTTGCTTGTTTTCTGTCCCAGCATATTTCGCTATCGGAGCTGATTTAGAGGATGTCTCGAGCGAGGCGCTAATTTTCACCCCCCTTAGGGGAGCAACCAATGGTTATCTCACGGTCCCCTTCGCGGCCGTTCTGTGGGGATGTCTCCAGCGGCTTGCCTGTTTTCTGTTTCAACATCCTTCGCTTTCGGAGCAGATTTGGAGGATGTCTAGAGCGAGGCGCTCATTTTCACGTCCCTAAGGAGCCGCCGAGGGGTTATCTCACGGTCCCGTTCGCGGCCGTTTTGTGGGGATGTCTCAAGCGGGTTTGCCTGTTAGTTGTGCCGACATCATTCGCTTCCGGAGCAGATTTGGAGGATGTCTCGAGCGAGGCGCTCATTGTCACCCCCCTAAGGGGATTCAAATATTCACTGCGTGGGGCTCCCCATATGCGCATTTATTCCCATGGACCTGTCCGCCGTGAGAATCTAGGCGCAAAAACTTTCGAGTATAAACGGGTTTCAGTTGTGACGGTCTGGTCATGAATCTAACTGAGAATCAATTGGAGTGTGAATGAGCCTCAGTAGTACGAGCGCGTCTCTGCGCATGTCCCTGGGTCCTCCTGGGGCCTCCTGGGGCCTCCTGGGGACCTACTGGGGCTTCTTGGGGCCTCCAGGAGCCTCTTTGGGCCCCCTGGGGCCTCCTGGGACCTCCTAGGGAGGATTCGTGCCCGAGGAGAGGCCCAATCTATAGCAACAGTCGTACATAAAACATTGCGACTTGGAGCCGCAGAAAAAAAAGGGACAATCTATAGGAACACGCGTACAACACCAAGGAGTCGTGCCCTAGGAGAGGCCCTATAGGAACATAAGTACACAGGATATGGACAATCTATAGAAACATACGTATAACATCAAGGATTCGTGCCCCAGGTGAGGCCCAATATATGAGAGCATACGTAAAACACATGGGATTGGAACCACCCCTGTTGCCTTCTGAGGCCTCCTGCTCCTGGGGCCTCTCGGGGCCTCCTGTTGCCCTCCGGAGACCTCCTGGCGCTTCCTCTGGCCTCCTGGGGCCTCCTGTGGCTTCCTGAAGCCTCCAGGAGCTTCCTGGGGCCTCCTAGAGCCTCTTGGGGCATCCTGTGGCCTCTTGGGTCTTTCTGTGGCATCCTGATTCATCCTGGGACCTCATGTGGTCTCCACGGGCCTCCTGGAACCTGTTGGAGCCTCCTGTGGCATCCCCAGGAAAACCAGCGCCCACGAGTCTGGCCACCGATCGAGACATCCTCAAAATCTGGCCCACCTGGGGGGGTGAAGTGGAGCGCCTCGCTCGAGACATCCTCCAAATCTACTCCGAGAGCGAAGGATGCTGGGACAGAAAACAAGCACACCGCTTGAGACATCCCCACAAAACGGCTGCGAACGGGACCGTGAGAGAACCATTGGCGGCTCCCCTTAAGGTGGTGAATATGAGCGCCCCCCGCCAGTCCTCCTGCCAAGGGAACCTGGCTGTGGTTTTCGGCGACGCACCAGCGCCCTTGGCTAACAGCGTTGCAACGCACGCGCTGCATTACGCGGAAGTAGTAAGATGATATGTTTCTGACCTGATGCGTGGGCGCGCACGGCGCGGGCCTACATGGCGCGTCGAAGGCGCCTGACACACGCCCGCGATACTATTCACGACCGAAATCGGAAAATTAGCTCCGGCGGCGCACATGCGGTGGGACACGCGTGCGTTCGGCATCACCCGCGCGAGGTGGCTAACAATTTCGCGGCGTTGCGCTAAAAATGCCATTGTGCCCAACATCGTTTCGAAGCGCGCTGCGGTGCGCCGCGCAAGCGCGCGTGGACTGCGGCCTGCGTGCGGCCCGCGCACTAGTACGAGCGATTGAATCTGAAAGGGCCAGGCGCGGCACGTGCGCCATGAAAACGCGGCACACGGCAAAAGCAGTTACGAGAAGGAAACTCGCGCGATTCGCGTGCCTCCGTCGACCGAAATCGCTAAATCAGGGCAAGCGATCGGCGACGACCGCGTTTGACGCCACCAATAAATACATGAAAAAATGCAAAAACAAATTTGTCGAGGCCCTCGTTTTGTTTCCTGGTGGGCGCAACACCTGAAATCTGAGTTTAAGCTCCTCATCAGGGATCCCTCGTGGGGCCTCGTTGGCCATCTGCTTGACACCTCTTGGGCCGTCTTGGGTCTCTCTTGGGCCGTCTTGCGGACTCTTTGGGAGCCTCGTTGGCAATGAAGGAAAGGAAGCGCTGCGGAAAGCCGGTCCCAGACCCCGGGGCCTTCCTCAAGACCAGCTTTCATCCCAAACCGGGCTCGAGTGGTCCAGCAAGGAAGACAGCGCGGCTGCGGCCCGGCTACCTCACCGCTCCCGCCCCACCCTGGCTGCGGCAGCGCGGGCGGGCCTTGGAGCCCTGCTCGGGCAGGCAGCGGCGGGTGCTCATCGCCTCCAGCCTCGACAGGCGAGCTCGGTACGGCAGTTTCGTGTCGTGCCGACCCCAGCGTTGGTTTTTGACACCGCAGGGATCGTTCAACCTTGAACGATCGGCCGCTGCCGCAACGTCCGATCGTTCAACATCGATCGATTCTGGGTCGCCGGCGGCGTTCAACCTTGAACGTCCGCGCTGGGGTCGCCGCTGGTCGACACGACGCAAACCTACCGTACAAGGGTAACGTCAAGGGGAGACCGGCTCAGAGGGGGCAGGCACGGAGCAGGAATCGGCGGCACGTCGCCGATGTGGATCGGCGATGGGCCCCCGATGGCGAACCCGCACGCTCCTCGGCGGGGTGGGCTACCCTGACCTTCCAGAGAGCCATTTTTTGGCACGGGAGGCCTAAAACCTTTATAAAAAAAACGAAGCGAAGCAGCCCAAAACCAAGACATATGATAGCTCTGGAATAAGTTTTTCAGTCGCGTGTTATTTTTGTTGCCCTCCTGGAAGGTCAGGGTCATCTCGGGCGTTGGCAGAACTGGGGTTTCGTGGAACCTGGGTTAGTGATCTGTACCAGCGGCGCCCCCCGCCCCACTTCCACGAACCAGAACTGCCGCCACCCGAAGAAAACTCACCAGCTATATATATATATATATATATATATATATATATATATATGGCAAACCTGGTTGAGTGCTTCTGGCCAGTTTCGGGGCTCCAGGGCGCTACCACCAACCAAGTCCCTTTACCCCGGGGTACCCTCGGGTCGGGCGAAAAGGGGGGATAGCAAAGGGGGGGGGTGAGAATCAGCTCACGTAGCTGATTTTCCCGGCGCCTCCCCGCGCCGGAGGCGGCTATGTATCGAGGAATGGCCCCCTAGGTGGGGCCGCAACCAGCTGCATGCAGCAGATTTCGTAACCCCCCTTTCCCAATCCCCCCCTTTCGCCCGGCCCGATACCCTGGCTATACCCGAAACTCCTCTCGCCGAGGGGCAAAACTCAAGGCGGACATCTGTGCCGGCGGCTCTCGGCCTCCCGGTGGCCCTCGCCGGCCGCCAGGAGGCCGTCAGAGAGCGAGGCCTGCGGGGGTCCACGCTGGGAGCTCTAGGCAGTTCGCGTCCGGAGCTCCTCCTCCTCCTCCTCCTCCTCCTCCTCCTCCTCCTCCTCCTCCTCCTCCTCAACCTCCTCCTCCTCCTCCTCCTCCTCCTCCTCCCTCCTCCTCCTCCTCCCTCCTCCTCCTCCTCCTCCTCCCCCTCCTCCTCCTCCCCCACGTGTCGAGACCCGCGGAGGTCCACGTCGGGAGACGTCGGAGGTACAGGCGGTGCCCAGGGCCTCGGCGTCGGGACGCGACGGCTGCCGCACGACGGCCCACCCGCACGGCAAGGACGCACGGTGAGGAGGCGAGGGCCTTGGAACGCCAGGTCGACACTTTGCGAGCGGGGCGAAGGGGGGGGATAGCAAAGGGGGGGGGTGAGAATCAGCTCACGTAGCTGATTTTCACGGCGCCGGAGGCGGCAACGTATCGAGGAACGGGCCCCTCGGTGGGGCCGAAACCAGCTGCATGCAGCAATTTTCGTAACCACTTCTTTCCCAAACCCCCCCTTTCGCCCGACCCGAACTTTGCGAGCGGGGCGCGGCCAGCGAAAGCGGCCAAGGATGGGCCGAAGGGAAAGGATGTGAGGGCGACCTTGGAAAGTTGCTCCTCCGCACTGTGCGGGTTGACTGCATCGGTTTCTTTCGGCTTCCGCAAACAAGACCGCGGATCCGGCTTTGAAAAAGTGATTATCTCTATTATGCAGGTTGAGTGCACTGCCACCAACTTGAATGCTCATTCTGGGGACCTTCTCGGAGCCACTCGCTGCTCTCGTGCGTAGAAGCTGCGTCGAACGCCCGTCGACTCGAGTCAAACCTGAGTCGAACCTGAGTCGAACCTGAGCCGAACCTGAGTCGAACCTGATTCGAACATGCGTCGAACTGGAGCCGAACAAATCCATCAGGTGGGCCCCAGAAGGGTCCCCCCAAACGAGCTTCGAAACCAACCGCCGCCTTTACCGCCACCGCCACCCTCCCCGGCAAGACCGGCGCCACCACCGAGCACCGCCAACGCCACTGCAGCCGCGCCTGGCCCCTGGATCGGGGAGACGGAAGACTCGGGTACGGGGGACTCGGGTTGGCCTGACGGGACCATCAAAAAAAACATGACGAGAGCCAATCTAGAATTTGGCGCGAACTCCCACTGCAACTGTCCCACGAACCCTGGACCGTCAAAATCCAGGACGCCCTCCTCAGAAGACCTCGGCTAACCCGAGTTCCGGTTTGGACGCCCGAAATGGGCACGGAAAGAATGGGCACAATGCCCCACAGCAAATGCTGTCCCAAACCAGCAGCGGCCGCTGTTGGGCAGGCGGCCTCCTGCCTCGGATGGACACAGGCCGCGGCGGCGTGGACAGCGAGTCCTATTCAAAACGAACCAGATCCGCTGCTGGGCATCTCGTTCGTGCAGAGAGTTCCGGCTCCCTCGAGCCTCACGCTGCCCGGCCGGGGGGCGGGGGCGTGCGCCGAGGGCAGCGGCGGGGGTCGCTCCGAGGCCCGCCCCCCCCCGCTGCGGCCCTCTCCCCCCGTCGGGGCACCGCCTCGTGTCGCGGGCAAACCCCGACCCGGGCCCCCTTCGCGCTGCGGAACAAAAAGGAAGGGGCCCTGGGACACGCAGATGAATACACACAAACGACAGGATCCCCCATAGCTTCCCCTATTTTCTGGGCTGTCGTTTTCCCCCCCACTTCCCATATTTTTGTTCCCCAGATGTTCCGGAGGATCGAGGATCAATTGTGTCGGTGTGTCTTTTCCCTCCTGGAAAAATCACGACGGGAGCCTTTTCGCTGCCTTCGGCCTCGGGGGGCCCCTACTGCAGGTCCGTGCCGTGTCGACCCTGGCGTTGGTTCCTGACACCGCGCTGGATCGTTCAACCTTGAACGATCGGCCGTCTCCGCAACGTCCGATCGTTCAACATCGACCGATTCTGGGCCGCTGTCGGCGTTCAACGTTGAACGTCGGCGGCGGGGTCGCCGCCAGTCGACACGACGCGAACCTACCGTACCTGGCCTCGGGAGCGTCAGCAAAAGACGACTCGGGACGAGAAGCCAGTCCCGGGGAATGGGTCGAGACCTCTGGGGGTCGACGCATGTACAGCAGTCATGACGTCGAGGGTCTGGGGAACGGGCACCCAAAACCTCCTCCTCCTCCTCCTCCTCCTCCTCCTCCTCCTCCTCCTCCTCCTCCTCCTCCTCCTCCTCCTCCTCCTCCTCCTCCTCCTCCTTCCTTCCTCCTCTTCCTCCTTCCTCCTCCTCCTCCTCCTCCTCCTCCTTCTCCTCCTCCTCCTCCTCCTCCGTCTCGCCCCTGCAGCATGGGGCGGGAGGCGGAGGAGTCGGGGGAGACCAGCTCAAGGTTAAGTCGGGCGTGTCCCCCTACAGGGGGGATCTTCGACGAAAAATAAGAAATACTGAACAAATGCTCCAAAAAGGTCGAAACACACGCAAACAAAATAGTCCCCACGTTATTGTTTACCATGTTTGAACATTCCTCCTGTAGAGGGACACGCCCGACTTAAGCTTAGGGGGGGCAGCATCGAGCTGGACTCGGCGACACGTCGCCGACGGATCGGCGATAGAGTAGAGGCCCCCGGATGGCGAATTGGCACGCTCTCCTCGGAGGGGTGGGCTGCCAGGCCCCTATCGGCGATGGAGGGGCGGCTGTGAAGGGGCCCTGGGGCACACAAAGACATAGCGAATAACAGGATTCCCCGTCTTGTCCCATCTGTTCTGGGTTCGTCGTCCGCCCCACATCCCATATTTTCTGGGGAGCCGAGGATTGGTTGTGTCTGTGTTGTTCCCCCTCCTGAGATGGGGGGATCGATGCGTAACCCCCTGGGCCGGTCCCCGCCCAACGATGACCCTGAGGGAGGGCGAAGTGGGGGCTCTGGACCAGGAGAGGGCACGGGAGAAGGAATGGCTGTACAGGGCAGTTTTTGATACACAGGATGTTTTAAAACATTGGACTTTTAATACATGATGAATCTTATACATGAATGTATGCCTGAACTCATCGCTGTTGTTAATACTAAATCCCTGCATGTTTAATACATGATCCGCGAGGGGAGCATGTATTAAAAACGGCACTGTAAGTAGCTGCCACTGTTTTCCCCACGCGTGTGCTGCCGAGAAGGGGGGGGGCGAGCAACAGGGCGCGGAAGCCGTCGCACAGCTCTCGCTGCAAACATCCACTATCACCGCTCGTCTGCCACTCGCAATCTCCTACAGTGGGGGCTCGGCCACAAGAAACCTCCGCAAAAAACCCAACCCTGAAATCCGCGATTTGTTCAGCGAGAATCCACCTTTGTCGATCGAGAATCGTCAAGATCTTGTTGGGGGCCCATCGAAATCCAAGAAACCCAGGACACCCTGGCAAAATCCAGCTGGTTTCTTGGCACGCGCCCCCACTGTAACCAACCGAGGACGAAATTCAAGAAAACGGATGACAGTGTGATTCAGTACTTCTCGCAAATGGCTGACAGAGAAGTTGGTGCCCGCGAATAACTGCGTAGCCCGCGCCAGTGGCACACCGAAAACAGAACCACGCTCACAGAAGCATTATTCTCTTGGCATCGCATCACCGCAATGAAGGTCATCCTGAGCCCCTGGAGGCCTCCCAAATGGGGTCCGAGTAGATGGGGCTGGAGGATCGCGCCGCATCGCCTATGCATCGCCGATGCATCGCCGACGTCGGCGACGCATTGGCGCCGTCGGCGTGGAGAAAGCCGGCCTCAACATCGAGCCGCATCGTCGATGCGGCGCGATCCCCATCTGCTCGGACCCCATCTGGGAAGCCCAGACCCCCTCAAAACATCCTGGGACCCCAAACTACACCCATTGGTCGGAAGAAGTAGGTAGAAACAGAAAGTAGGAAGGCGTTGGAAGTAGATTCGATCTCCGCCCGCCCTCGGAAGAGGATAGACGAGGGGAAGCCACTCGATCATTGGAGTAACTAAGGCGCTTAAACTACTTTGGAATCTGGGACTCCAGAAATACCTACTTTCAACGACCGATGGGTACCGGCCCCGTGGCTACCTACGGCCCCCCCTTCGGACGCCAAGAGTGATGTTGCTCCCACCGTACCTGAGGACCACATCCCAGAAATCATTCCGAGCACCCGGAAAAGTGTCGCAAAAGAGTGTCGAAGGAGTGTCGGACGAGCGACATTCTTCCTAAAATAGGTCAAGGCCAAAATGGGCTGAAGGCTAAAACAGGTTGGCACATCATAAGCTAAGGCACATCTAAAAGGAGCTCTGGTGGTCCAGGCCGAAAGAGGTTGGAACATCATAAGACTGCTCCCATCGTACTCGAGGACCACGTCCCAGAAATAGCCTCGAGCACCAGGAAAAGTGCCGAAAGCGTGTCGAAAGAGCGTCGGACGAGCGAAAGTCTTCCTGGCGGTCGAGGCCAAAATCTGGCCATCGCTCGGACGTCCATTTCCCGTGTTTTTTGTCGGTTCCGCGCGTGGTTTTTTTTTTTGCGAAAAATCATCAGGGATGCTCCTCGATGGCCCTCGCCGAGAAAAAAACGCACACATCCGAGCGATGCCAGGAAATGCGAAGGGGAACTGGGACACACAAATAAATACACACAAATAAATATATCCCGCATATTTTCCCATATGTTCTGGGTTGTTGTCTTCCCCCCCACTTCCCATATTTTCCCATATTTTCTGGGAGTCGCCGATGAATTGTGTCTGTGTGTGTGTTTTTTCCCTCCTGGAAAGGGGCTGGAGCACACCCCCGAAGACTGCTCGCCCGGCCGCAGCTGCGGGCCCACGCCGGCCCCCGGGGGGACTCCGCGGCGCGCCCCCGGGGGTGGCAGAGAGAGAGAGCAGGAGGAGGAGGAGGAGGAGGGAAGAGGAGGAGAGAGGAGAGAGGAGGAGGAGGAGGAGGAGGAGGAGGAGGAGGAGGAGGAGAGAGGAGGAGGAGGAGGAGGAGAGGAAAGGAGGAGAGAGGAGGAGGAGGAAGGAGGAGATGAGGAGGAGGAGGAGGAGGAGGAGGAGGAGGAGGAGGAGGAAGAGGAGGAGGAGGAGGAGGAGGAGGAGGAGGAGGAGGAGGGGGGCTCCGCGAAGCGCGCCCCCGGGGGTGGAGAGAGCGAGCAGGAGGCGCGACGGGGCGCCCGGGGCGGGCGCTGCTCGCGGGGGGCGGCCGCTGCTCGGGGAAGGAGATTTCAAAACCCCCGGCCGTCCGAGGAGCTCCGAACCAGCCTTCGCCGAAGCCCGAGGCGGCCCCCCAGAGGTCGGAGGCCTCTGAGGAGGCCCGCCGAAGGACTGCAACGAAGGATTGCAAAAAACCCCGGATTTCAATAAAACCGTTTTTTTGCAATCCTTCAATCCTGGGTTTTTTTTGCAATCCTTCGAGGAGGCCTGCCTCGGCGGTGGACAAACCTCCTTTTAGTAAACCTCCCTTCGGCGGTGGACAAACCTCCTTTTAGTAAACCTCCCTTCAGTGAAAACGGCCTGACCTTCCAGGAGGGCTACAAAATAGCACGCGACTTACAAAAACCGGTCCAAGAGGCTATTCTATGTCTTGGTTTCAGGCTGCTTCGTTTCGTTGTTTAGGTTTGTAGGCCTCCCGTGCTAAAAAATAGCTCTCTGGAAGGTCAGGGAAGGGGGGCCCTGACCCTCCAGAGAGCTATTCTTTGGCACGGGAGGCCTAAAAGCCTAACCAGACGAAACGAAATAGCCTAAAACCAAGACATAGAACAGCTCTGGGATAGGTTTTTGTAAGTCGCGTGCTATTTTTTAGCCCTCCTGGAAGGTCAGGGGGGAGGGGGGGGCCGCCCCTTCCATCTTCGGAGAGAGGAAGGGGGGATGCCGCCCCCCGGCGTCAGGCGGAGGGGGGGGCCCTGTGCTCGAGACTGCCTCCAGAATCCACGGGCCAAAGGCCGCCACAGGCCAGCCCCGACACAGCCCGAGACTGACCCTGCGCAGCCCCGCGACAGCCGAGAGGGCTGAAACACCTCCCTGGCTTCCCACGAGATTCGCCGAGCGACCCCAGGTCGTCCATCAAGTCCCTCGGAGGCTTCCACAGGGCCCCCAGAGCCCATCCAAGAGGGCCCCTGTGGCCATCCCAGGGACCATCGAAGCCATAGGCCCACTCTGGGCCCAGAGCTCCTCCTGAGGCCAGCTCCCCGAAACGGCTGCAATGCTGGGTGGGAGCGGTGGCGGAACTTGCCACAATCGGGGGCGCGCAAACATGGATCAGCGATCCATGGATTTGGCGCGCGGTCGCCAAATCCATGGATCGGGGGGGGGGCCCTCCCAAAATGATGCGGCCGGCGCCGCCTCGCTCGGCGGCGGAAATCCGCGATGTCCCATGGAAACGGGACCCGTCGCGAACGCACGCCCCCTTCATCCATCGTTGCGATCGCCTGAAATCCATCCGATTCCAGCGACGGCGAGCAGGACTGAGATAGGCATCGTGTGCGCTGGGATGCAAAAGGAGAGGAACAAATCACGATGTCTCGCTCTCAGGCGCTGCTGCGCAGGCCGTCGCCCCCTGGTGCATGTGGGAGTCTCGGGACGAGGTCCGGGAGGCTCCAGCCAGGCAGCGCTGCTCCCACGCCCCTTGCTGGCGCAAGGGCGCCGGCCTCGAGCCACGCCTGAAGCTCCGCGAAGGATCCGCAGAAGGGCCCTGGGCCGTCGGCAGCCATTCAGAAGAGCGGGCCAGGCTACGTGCACCTCGCACATCTCTTCGCCCCGGCCACGTATCCCCCCCTCCATGACCGCAGCGTCCGACCCGGAGGGCTCCGAAGGCCCCCGGCCTTTTCCGAGGAGCTCCCCCCAGCCTTCGCCGAAGCCCGAGGCGGCCCCCCCGAGGTCGGAGGCCTCTGAGGAGCCCCGCCGCCTCCCGAGGAGGCCTGCCTCGGCGGTGGACAAACCTCCTTTTCGTAGACCTCCCTTTAGTGAAAACGGCCTGGGACCGAAACCGACGGACCTGGATCCGCAAAAAATGACGGCCGCGACGCCCTCTCGCGAACCGAAAACGGCCAATTCCTCCATCGACGTGTCAGGGTAGGAGGTCTATCCACCTCCGACTGCCTTGGCAGAGCCCGGCATCGACAGGTCGGATCGGCGATCGGAACGGACCGGATCGGAGGAACTCGGCAGCCGAGCTGGGAAGAGCCGAATCGGCAGGCACCGGCTGGCTGGCATGGGCCCCCATCGAACGAGAGCTCGGATCCTGCAGCGGAGCCCAGGGCCGAAGCGCAGCGGAATCGGCACGCGTCGAAGTCGAATCGCATCGAAGCGGAGGGGTCCCCTGACCTTCCAGAGAGCTGGTTTTTAGCACGGGAGGCGAAAAAACCTAAAAAACGAAGCGAGACAGCCTGAAGCCAAGACATAGAACAGCTCTGGGATCGGTTTTCAAGTCGCGTGTTATTTTTTAGCCCTCCTGGAAGGTCAGGGTCGAGGGAGCCCGGCTGCCCCCCCGCCCGCTGTCCCCCCATCGGGGCGCGGCCGGCCCCCGCCCACGCCCGAGGGGCAGCCTCGCGGCCAGCGCCCGCACCTGGCCAGCGTCTGCTTTGCAGTCGATGGCCTCCGGGGCGGCTCCACGGAGCGCGGGCCGAGCGGCGCTCTCTCTCCCCGAGGGAGCGAAACCCAACGGCCAACCACTGAGCGACCGCGGAGGGGGGGAGCGACAAGGACCAAGGAGGAGCACCCCCCTCCCCGCACACGAAAGGGAAGGGGCGGCGGAAGGAGGTGCACCTCTCCCCCATTTTTTGGACGCCCGACATGGGTACCGAAAAAATTGGCACTATGCCCAACAACAAATGTTGTCCCAAACCAACAGCGGCCGTTGTTGGGCAGGCGGCCTCCTGTCTCGAATGGACACAGGCCGCGGCGGCGTGGACAGCGAGCCATGTTCAAAATGAACCAGATCCGCTGTTGGGCATTGTACCCATTCTTTCCGTACCCATGTCGTGCGTGCAGACATTTGCCGTGAGGGAGGGGGGGGGGGGGCACCTCCTGGCAGCCGGAGGGGGAGCCCCTCCCCCCCAAGGGCTCGGACCCTGTCCGCTGCCCTGCCGCGCGGGGAGAAGAGGCGGCCCCCCACCCCCCCGTGGCACTCCTCCAGGCTCTCTCTCTCTTCCCTCCTCGCGCGCCGGCGGGGGAGCACACGCCCCCCCCCTTCCCCCGGGACTCGGATGTTTGCCCCCCCCCCCCACCCCCACGCGCCAGGAGAGGAGGAGCACACCCCCCCTCCCCGGCACTTCAATCTCTCTCTCTCTCTCTCTCCTCTCGCGCGCCGGAGGAGAAGCACCCCCACCCCCTCCCCCAAACTGGGATGATCTGATTTCCCCTTCCCGCGCCGGGGGGGAGGGAGATCTCCGCCCCCCCCCCTGGCACTCTGACCTCTCTCTTCCCTCCTCGCGCGCCGAAGGAGCCCCTCCCCCCTGGCTCTCGGATGTGTTCCCTCCCGTGCCGCGCGGGGAGAGGGGGAGGAGGAGGGAGGGAGGAGGGAGGAGGAGGGAGGAGGAGGGAGGAGGAGGGAGGAGGAGGAGCAGGAGGAGGAGGAGGAGGAGGAGGAGGAGGATGAGGAGGAGGAGGAGGAGGAGGAGGAGAGGGGGAGCCACCAACCCCACCCATTGGCATGCCAGTCTCTCTCTCTCTCTTCCCTCGTCGCGCGCTGGAGGAGGAGGAGCACACGCCCCGACCCCCCCCCAGGACTCGCATTGGTTCCTCTTCCCCTTCCCACGCGGGCTGGCAGCACCCCCCCCCCGGGCACTCCGATACTCCAGTCTCCCTCCATCAACATTCCAGCGTTCATCAAAATCGTCTTGTCTCCCAATTGCCCAATTCGAATTAATTCATGTAATTTACGGCCGCTGAGCCTCCGGTAATTTTGCCTCTGTCTTGATTTAAAATCTCTCTTCCCCTCTCGCGCGCCGGAGGAGGAGCACCACCCCCTCCCCCAGGACTCGGATGCTGTGTCCTCTTCCCCTCCCGCGCGGGAGCGCAGCCCCCCGCTCTGGCGTTCCAGTCTCTCTCTCTCTCTCTCTTCCCCTCTCGCGCGCCGGTGGAGGACCCCCAGGGCTCGGATGTTGTCCTCCCCCCCCTCCCGCGCTGAGAACACCCCCCCCTCCCCGGCACTCCAACCTCGACTCGCCGGAGGCGAGGCCCCCCCCCCCCCCCCCAGAACTCGGATCTGTCCCTCGGGGGGGCGGATATAGCACACACCCCCCCCTTCTTGACGCTCCGGGTTCCCCTTCCCTCCTCGCGCGCCAGAGGAGGAGAGCCACACCACCGCCTCCAGCACGCGGACTCTTGCCCTCTTCCCCTTCCCCGCGGGGGAGCGGCACCCCCCCGCCCCTGGTGCTCCAGTCTCTCTCTCCTCCTCCTCCTCCTCCCTCCTCCCTCTCCTCTCCTCCTCCTCCCTCCTCCTCCCCTCCTCCTCCTCCTCCTCCTCTCTCCTCCTCCTCTCCCTCCTCCCCTCCTCCTCCTCCTCCTCCTCCTCCTCCTCCTCCTCCTCCTCCTCGTCTCTCTCTCTCTCTCTCTCTTCCCCTCCCTTCGCGCGGAGCGGCCGCGCTCCGCGCGACACGCCGCGCGGCCGCGCGCGGGGGGCGGGAGCACCGCCGCTGCTCGACGCTGCTCCTCTTCTGCTCGTCTCGTGGCAGCGCCGAGGGGCGGACAAAGAGGCCGAGCCCACTCCTGCACGCCACGCGGCACACACACCTCCCGAGGGGCGAGCAGCGAAAACACGGCACCCCGCTCTGCTCGCCACGCGGCAGCGCCTCGGAGGCGACAACACGCCCCACTCGGCCCCCAGCTCGGCAACGCCGCGGACAGAGACAGGAAGCACTCCCCTCGACTCGCTGCGCGGCAACGCCTCGTGGGGGGGGGGGGGGGGCGAAGAATGCTCCACGCGATGCCAAGATTTTTTGACATCGCCTGCGCGGATCGGCCGCAGTGACGCACTCAGACTTCTGAACTCTCGGGCAAGCCTGCGCGGACCGATGGAAAAAGCGAGGATGCGCAGCCCCCCTGCCCTCCCCCTCCTCCGTCCTCGTCCTCTGCCCCTCGGGGAGGGGGGGGAAATCCTCGCTCGTCTCCCCGACTCCAGACTTCGGGGTGTTGGAGGCTAGGTTTCGCGGCCGCCGGGACTATTCCGGGTTTCGCCTGCGAGCTCCAGGTTTCGCGGGTGCGTGCGGGCCGGGCTTCGACCCAAACGATTCCGGGTTTGGAAGCGATGCGGGCGTTCGACTCTCAACTAGGAACGGCGGCGAAGTACACCCTGTCGCCTCCCCCTGACCCACACCGGGGTAAGAACCAAGGGGGGGCGGGGGGCGGGGGGGGGGGCACCCCCTGCCGCCCCCCACCCCTCGACACGCCGCGCGGCAACGCGCGGGGGGCGAAGACAAAGTACGACTCTACTCCACTCGACACAGTCCTCTCCTACTCGCCATTTGGCAACACCTGGAGGGGGCGAACACACATGGCACTCCACTCCACTCGCCGCGTGGCAACGCCCTGGGGGCCTGCGGAGAGGGACATATAGCATTCCGCTCGACTCGAGGCGTGGCAACGCCTCGGCCTGGGGGGGAAGCAGCAAGTGCTCCACTCGATGCCCCGATCTTGGCATCGTCAGCGCGGACCCGCCGCTCCGACACGCTCAGGTCAGGCCTGCGCGGGCCGACGGGCGCGCGGAGCGGCGACGCCGCGGGGCGAAAGGAAAAGCTGCTCCGCTCGACACGCCGCGCGGCAACGGCCGTCCAGCCCCGACACAGCCCGAGACTGACCCTGCGCAGCCCCCCGACAGCCGAGAGGGCTGAAACACCTCCCTGGCCTCCCACGAGATTCGCCGAGCGACCCCAGGTCGTCCACCAAGTCCCTCGGAGGCTTCCACAGGGCCCCCCGAGCCCATCCAAGAGGGCCCCTGTGGCCATCCCAGGGACCATCGAAGCCATAGGCCCACTCTGGGCCCAGAGCTCCTCCTGAGGCCAGCTCCCCGAAACGTCTGCAATGCTGGGCGGGAGCGGCGGCGGAACTTGCCACAATCGGGGGCGCGCAAACATGGATTAGCGATCCATGGATTAGGTGCGCGGTCGCCAACTCCATGGATCGGTGGAAGCGCCCTCCCCAAAATGCGGCCGGCGCCGCCTCGTTCGGCGGCGGAAATCCGCGATTTCCCATGGCAACGGGACCAGTCGCTGATCCACGCCCCCTTAATCCATGTTTGCGATCGCCTGACACCATCGGCTGGCCACGCAAGATCGCATCGATCACGCGCCGGACTCGACGCGACTCCCTGCAGGGATCGGAAGGGGGAACGGACTGGGCGGATGGCCCATGGGGGAGGGCACGCCACGCGTCCCTCACGCGCGTCCCTCTGGAAGCCCCGTCGGTCACGTGGACGATCGGCGCCCCTGGACGCGTGCGATGCGCCCCCCCCCCCCCCCCCCCCCCCGGGGCCCGCGCGCCTCCCCCTCCTCCTCCTCCCCCTCGTGCTCCTCCTCCTCCTCCCCCTCGTGCTCCTCACCCTCCTCCTCCTCCTCCTCCTCCTCCTCCTCCTCCTCCTCCATCCTCCTCCTCCTCCTCCTCCTCCTCTCCTCCTCCTCCTCCTCCCTCCTCCTCCTCCTCCTGCCTCCTCCTCCTGCCTCTCCTCCGTCGCTCCGCCGAAAAAAGCCTGCCTCCTCCTCCTCCTCCGCCTCCTCCTCCTCCTCCTCCTCCTCCCTCCTCCTCCTCCCTCTCCTCCCCTCCTCCTCCTACTCCTCCTCCTCCTCATCCCTCCTCCCCTCAGCCCCTCTCCTCTCCTCCTCCTTCTCCTCCTCCTCCTCCCTCCTCCTCTGCTGCCGCCGCCGCCGCCGCCGCCGCCGCCGCCGCCGACGACGGAGGCAGACGGCAGGAGAGCCCGCCCAGGGGAAGCGCCGGGGGCAGGCCAGCTCTGGGGGGGGGGGGAGCGCCGAGAGCTGACCTCGGCGCTGCGTCGCCGGCGCGTCTCTGCGGGGGGGGGTCCGAGCGTTTTAGCCGTGCCACGCGGCGCTCCGCCCGCAGGGCGGGCCCCCGAAGGCGTGTGACGTGCCAGCCGACCCCTCGACTCTGAGGTTCGAGAGCGGTGCACGGCACGCGGGAGGGCATGCTGGTACTATTTACCAGCCTGGAACATACATATCCCCATCCCTATGCTGGGCACCTCCTCATCACGATGCCAATCTGAGGGCTTCCCTTATCTCTTGAGGGCGACTCCCTGAGATTGTCATCGCCTTTTGGCGTGTCAATCTTAGGGATAGGGATACGTTCGAGGCTGGTAAACTATCCCCTGCTGTTGGAGGCGCACGCCCGGCACGAGCATATGGCACACGAGTCTCACAGCACCTCGCTGCCTGGGCGGCATGGGCAGAGAGCGCCTGCCACGGGGCTTCTGCTGTTCGATCTCTCAGCGTGCCGAAGCCTACGTGGTCGAAGCCCCTGCGTTGCCCCTGCGGGGCCGAAGCCTGCATGGTAGAAGTATGTGTGGCGCCAGATGCACGGCATCAGCGGTGGCGGCGAGAAAAGCTGACTACCTACCAGACCACCCCAACCCAACCCGAAGACCCGAATTTCGGGTTGGGGGGGGTACGGGTTCCATATGCGTTTTCTCGATGTTCCCCGACCCCCCCCACTGGAAATGGAGGTCAATTTGAAGCCTTCGGGTTGGGTTGGGGTGGTTTGGTGGGTGGTGAAAAGCAGGAGAGCACACAATCGAGTCGAGCAGCTGGATCGGCGATCGAAACGCATCGGATCGGCGGGGAAACTGGCAGCCACGTCGGGAGACGTCGCATCGGCGGAGATCGGCAGGCCAATGAGGCCTTGGTTAGGAGACTGGAGTCCACATCGGAATCCGAACTCAAATCGATCATCGGAATCGGAATCGATCCGAATCGGGTCGAATCGAGTCCCTGGAATGGGGGTACAAATGACTACCTACCAGACCACCCCAACCCAACCCGACGACCCGAATTTCGGGTTTGGGGGGGTAAGGGTTTCATCTGTGTTTTATCAATGCTCCCCGACCCCCCCCACACTGGAAATGGAGGGCAAATTGAGGCCTTCGGGTTGGGTTGGGGTGGTTTGGTAGGTGGTGAACAAAAGGTACCGGTACCCCTACTCTCCGGACCTCTCCCAGGGTTCGCTCTGACCAGGATCCTCAGGGCGAATCTGGCGATGGCGACGAGCGCCTCCCAGGAGGCCCAGAGAGGGAAAGCGAGGGAAGGGTAGCGGTATGGCTACCTCTGCCTTCCTCTGAGAGAAACAATCGAAATCAAATCGAGTTGAGACGGAGGGTCGTTAAAGGCTTAACGACTTCTGCCGTCCTTCGACTCGCGCTGGAGCGGCCGCGAAGTGCTCGAACTTTCCCTGGAGATCTGTGGATTTACCTGGATTTACCCAGATTTATCTAGATTTACCTGGATTTACCTCGATTTATCTGCATTTACCTGGGTTTATCTGGCTCGATTCTCACAAGTCGATTGGCGAAAAGTCGACAAGCCCTTAGGGAGAGGAGTTGAAACGATCCCTGGAAAGGGCAGGCGCCGACATGGCGGAGAGACGGCGGGCGGCCAGCGAGCGCGCGCGTTGCTGCGAAGATGACGGGGGCCTCGCCCAGGCTGTTGCCGAGCCCTAGCAGCTCGCCGCGCAGCTCTTCCAGCGCGGCCTCGCACGGAAGCGGGGATCCAGGGCACGGATGGGTAGGGCGACGAAATCTACACGTATCCACTGCTCCCTGGCTAGGCCATCCTGAACCCACCAACGGTGTATACGCCACGCCCTCCTTGTGTGGCCAGGAGGGCGTATACACAGCTCCGGGCTTCAAAGTGAGCCTGGCCAGGGAGCAACGGATACGGATGCGTATAGATGGCGTCGCCCGAGCGGGGCGCACATGGACACTCTAGTATCGGGTCGG